CTCCCCCCCCCCTTGCCAAAGCATGCCGTCCAATCCACCATGACGCTAAATCCCAGTACAAGCAGTCAATGGAAAGGAATGAACTTTAAATGGTTGGAATTAACTGCCTTGTGGATCGGGCTGCCAGTTGTGGGGTTACACAGTTATTTAAAGGAAATGAAAAGCTCCCCCCCCCCCATGTCAAATCTTGATGCCTCGGGATGTGGTGCAATTTGGAGGTCTCTTGGTCCATTGTTCCTACTTTGGAAAGCACTGTTCTTTACCCGCGCTAGTTTGCGCCCGTTTGCGGGCTGTGTGCATTTAACAGCCCAATTAATTACTAGGCTGCATTAGTAACTACGTTTACTAAGAATACATAAGCAATCCCCGCCGCCGCCGCCCCCGGTATAGCTCTTAAAGATTAGACAGGTAACCGATTTTTTGGTCAGGGACACCCCCAAGATCTTTAGGTACAGTGAGTGATCCACGCGCCAAGGCTGAACTCCGGACTGGGCGCAGCTGGCTGTCCAGTAGCCCCCCCCCTTCCTACTCTCCCCCCAGTTTGGTGATAAAAGTCTCCTTCCAGGCAGCAACGATGGATGGGGGTGTGTGTGTGTGTGTGGAGAAAATAAACTACAACTCCCCTGAAGTTCTAAGAGAGTGCACATGCTCTACTCTGGATCCAGAATGTTCAACAGTCACTGACACACAAGAGAAATTCTAGAACTTAATTTAGAGAAATTCCTGAACTGAATTATTTCTCTTTAATACTGGCTGATTTCAGACAGCCTATACATTCCATTTTAGGAACTGGTTTCTAATGGCTTTTTTTCTGTCATTTCAGACAGACCCATTTTAGTAACTGGTTCCTAATGGAATATATTTACCTATTCAGACAAACACGCTTCTGTCCCATTCGAGAAGGGTGCCTGATGTTGACTCAAACTTCTTTCTTCCAATCTTCAATCCTTCCTACCACTTCTTCTTCTTTCTTTTTTTTAAAGATTTTATTTTACATTTTCCAAACAACGAAAAAAAGAATACAAAAACATTTTTATGTTCTTACATAGTACATAAGTTTGAGTCAGTTTTCAGAATCTAACCATTTATATAGTCCTTTCCATCTTTCAACAAAAGTCTCATCCTTTTTTCCCTGTAATATCACATTCAATTTTTCTATTTCTGCTATTTCCATCATTTTATATTTTAACTCTTCAATTTTAGGTGTGTTATTCATTTTCCAATATTTAGCCCATAATATTCTGGCAGCTGTGACAACATATATAATTACATATTTTTCATTATATTTAAGCGTTTCTGGCATAATGTTAAGCAGGTAGGTCTCAGGCAATAAGTCAAGCTTTACATTGGCAATTTTTTCTATTAGTTTTTGTACTTTTTTCCAATATTTCTGTACCTCCACACAGCTCCACCACATATGATAGAAAGTTCCTACATTTGCTCTACATTTCCAGCAAATGTTGGAGCAACTCGCGTAACATTTTGCTAGTCGCTCTGGTGGCCAGTACCATCTATGGAAGATTTTAAAAATATTTTCTCGGTAATTTGATGCTCTCATTACTTTGAATGATTTCCATATCTTGGCCCATTTCTCTAAAGCAATAGTTTACCCAAGTCTCTTGTCCAGGCATCCATATTATGTTTCAGGACTTCACATTAACATTATGCCAGAAACGCTTAAATATAATGAAAAATATGTAATTATATATGTTGTCACAGCTGCCAGAATATTATGGGCTAAATATTGGAAAATGAATAACACACCTAAAATTGAAGAGTTAAAATATAAAATGATGTAAATAGCAGAAATAGAAAAATTGAATGTGATATTACAGGGAAAAAAGGATGAGACTTTTGTTGAAAGATGGAAAGGGCTATCTAAATGGTTAGATTCTGAAAACTGACTCAAACTTATGTACTATGTAAGAACATAAAAATGTTTTTGTATTCTTTTTTTCTCGTTGTTTGGAAAATGTAAAATAAAATCTTTTAAAAAAAGAAAGAAAGAAAGTTCATGATCCAAACGTTACCTCATAAACTCACTTTATAGCTTTATGTAAAGTCTCAGTTCCCTATCTGTGGCAGTAGTAATGCTTAATTTAGAGGGCTCCTTTAAAGGTAATATATCTCTCTCTCTCTCTCTCATGGCATCTAATTTAACTCTTGTGTT